TAAACAAGTTCCCATGGCTGCTGGTGGCACTCTTAGGATGCCTATCACATATTCCTTCAAGCTCTAGAAATTTTAGGGAATAACTTTCGGTTTAAGAAATTCTACACAAACTTTTCAGGGATTCATCGATGACGTCTTTGGATGTCTCTACTTCGTGGATGTGTACGTTGATGGCTGCTTGATCGCAATTCCGGACGTAAAATCTCATCTCTAGCACACAGATTGCAGAAACACATCATTTCTGTAAGCATTCAGAAATGTTTAATCAGAACCGACTCTCCATATTTTCTCGGACACATTTCTAATGCTCAATGCTTCAGCCCTCTGCAAAGCAAAGTGGCGGGCATTCTGGATTGCCCAGAACAGACGTCCACCGAGCAATTACGTACGTTCATCGACCTGATAAGTTTGTATCGACGGTTTATACCGAATTGCTTGTCTCTTATGAAACCATGTTTGAGCCTGTTCATCAAGCAAAAACATGTCACCTTTTTTGCTAGATCATTTTCAGACTAGTATCCTACTTAACAGTCTCTACAACTGGATTACATTTGCAGTCCGCTTCAGATATACAACGCATTTCTGGGACAAACAATCCAGTCGCAATCTTCTTGAAGCGTATAACTTTCTTAAAGAGTTTGAATGAAATCAAGCTTCTTAAACTCACCTAACATTATCTACGAAGTGTCTCTGACACGTTGCACAAAATTATCCACCTGCGTGTTCGAGCAGCCATCAAGGTTTATGCCAGAAAGTTTGTTCTGACGTGGTGCGAATAAAGACGTGAAAGTGTAGGTAAGCTGTGTAGGCTGCTGAAATCTAAGGTGATTGGACACAACAAAATGTCCTTGGGCTCATTCAAACCCTCCGATGCTCGTTTCAACCATGTTCATCTGGATTTGGTAGGACCTTTACTAGATTAAAATGGACACTGATCTCTTAACTTGCGTAAACCGTTTCACTCGATGGCCAGAAAAAGTACCCATCAATGACATTACTACCGAAATATTAACCCGCACATTCATCGAACAGTGGGTAGCGAACTTTGGTTGCCTTTCAACTGTCAATACAGACCGTGGAAGCCAATTCGAATCTGAACTTATTCGTTGTCTGACTACAACATTAGGAATCACACGACTTAGTAAAACCACCTACCACCCAAAAGCAAACGGGTTGGTAGAACGATTTCATCGACAGGTAAAAGCTTCCCTTGTTGAATTATGGTCTACAATTATATTTGTACTGCTCTAATGATAGACCTAATCCCGAAACTGCAGATTTGTCGTGATTTAACCGCCTAATCTACACGACCCTACGTGGATGTCACTTCATTACCTACATTGACTCACCATATCGTAACAATTACCAATATATGCTCGTGAACCTGTAGTGGCATTGAGCCCTAACACGAGACAATATGGGGATATAGGCATTCAAAATTTAACGCGGAGAAATACAGAAGAATGGAGAAGGCTGGGATAAGAATTGAATAAATTGGAGTCGATCGTATGGCATGGCTCGGCCATGCAGGCATGGTTCCTGCTAAATGTTACGTTATGTCTTTTATTCATATTAAATATTCTGTTCCATCTCTAGCCTAAGATTGTTCTATATCATATATTGGCAATTGTTACGACGCAGTGAGTTGGTGTAGATGATGATGTGATTTCCACGTAAGATTCTATAGACTAGGCAGTTACATCATAACAAAGCTACAATTTTAGGATTAGGTTTATTATTGGAGCAGTGCTAATATCATAGTAGACCGTAATTCTACAAACCCATTCAGGCTGGAGATCACACCTGCGAGGCTAAGCCATGCCATCCAGTCAATTTAATTAGTTCAACTAGTTCTTCTCGCTTTCTCCATCTTCAGACTTTCTCCTGTATTAATTGTTGAATATCTATTTCCCCAATTGTCTTGTGTTAAGCTCTGAAGATTGTGTGGTTGGGCCCAATGCCACTACACCCTATTATCTGCAAACGTTTTACAGTGAACCGACGCCCTTTCAGTCGTCTTAATTGTAATTTGAAATGCAGTGAAAGCTGATAATGGGTACACTGCAGCTCAACTCATTCTCAACATGTTCATCGTGACATGGTAGGACACCAAATTCGCGTTAATACTTACCTTTTAACATATGTGGACCGTTTCACACAATGGCTAAAAGCATTACCTGTAGGATCTTTTTGAAGGCTATATGTATGAAAATCCATCCACGTATATGCTTATAATGTTTTCTTCTTGATTCCGTTACATATGCATTCAGTTGTTCTTTTGATTCTCAATAATATATCGTGCCATCAGCAGTCCACCTAATTCCGTCAAACCGAGAATTCTGCGAACGCTTGAAGCAAATGCTATTCGGAAAAAAGTCAAAGCTTCGTATCCGAAAGACAACGATATATAAACCTGAAGGGATAGGACAACACTAGTCCCTAGATATCTTACAACGAATAACATGATCACAGATAAGGATGGTGATGTAAACCGCAGGAAGATGATAGAGTAATGTAGTGGCCAACCAGAAATCTTTGAAACCTTCTTACCTTACTTTCTCAATCAAAGTAATCATAGATAACATGGGTCCTTCCAATTATGCGAAAGATGACCGTAAAATGTTGTTACGCAGCCTGAAATAAAAGCCACGCTATGGTGAAAATAGTCTCTTTAGAAAACTTTGGACATAGTGTGAATAAATTTCAGTGAGCAACGACAGTGCAAATATCACATGCAATTATTACATGGATTAGTCGCATGCAGAAAATCACAGTGAACATTTTACATATTTGTTTGTTGCTTTAAAGTTTAAAATCCACGCTGGGAGAAATCCATAAGTTTTCGTTTTTCTAAAATCTGTATAAATATCTAACAATGTGTGACAATGTAGATCGAAGCATCTTGGATTTTGGTCTATGAAATATCGTTTAGGGAAGCCAACTTTGGCAAAGTGATAAGATTTTCAAATTCACACTATTCGACCTTACAGTAAATCGATTTAATAGTCTATTCGAAGAGATTTCACACTAAACTATCAAAGGAATAATTACTACAGGCAATGACTCAAAACAACCGGTCCAGCATTTACGCCTACAGTAGAAAACCAAAAGGTTTGACTAGCTGCTAACTGTTATCATGTATATTATTACTTCGAAAAGGTTTTGGATATATTTGCCTTACTGACAACTTGATCTCTCTGTAATCTATAATCTTGACCTTGATTTTCTTCGATTTCAAAACATCTTGTTTTGGTACTTTGGAAATTTTGTTATGGGATCCTAAAAATTGAAGGTTTGTTGTGGTGTATTATAATTATTTTTGGAGGAATATATTTGGGTTAATTGCTCTCGTTTGACAAACAAATTTTGATATCTGAATTAAGATTTTGGTACTTGTCACTTGATCGGTATATCAGAGGTGTACCAATCTGCCGCGCTTCGAAAACAGACCAGGGTAGAATTCCGACATAAAACCAAAGATTGTACGTTAACGCAATGGAATGTGGAATTTATGAACGTGGCGTCGACTCATAGAACAGTTGACAATGTGATAAACAGAACAACAATTGTTTTCGTCTAAGTATTTAATTCGTCCATTTATTTGATCGATCATCTAAGGATCAGATTAATGGTCATGTTTATTCAAATAACATACTTATATTTACCTCAGAAAGTGGTTAAATTCAGTTTTAATGTGTTAGAAAAATTTTAAAAAATACTTTTACATGAGGCTAAACTTCAGGTTTTCCTCATTGTTTTGTTATAACTTGTGGCCTGAATGCCTTGTTAATAGATAGGTAATGATACCGCCAATTAGAGAGCAGTGAATTATCGATCGAACCTACGACGCATAAAACCCGTGAAAGCAGACTAGAGTTCTGATTGGTTCTGCTTTCCGGCTAGCCCAGCCAGTTGAAGTCCAGAACATCAATCTCAGTCTCTGCAATATGAGTCATTTATTTCAAACATACTGAGTTTATATACCAACCAGACAGACCACATCGTACCATAAAATATGTAACAACATTTGTACAAGAATTAGGCAAACGTGGCTGTGAATGAGGGAGGTAGTAGTTAATAGACAGGGAATAATTTAAGAATGGTGAATCGTATAACAATAGTTCATAGATCAAAATAAAACTCATAATAAGTGGGACATGATTATGAACAGTTTATGTACATAACAAATATGCGACAAAAATATAGGTATATTAATGGTCCATAAATGGATTCCAAAGATTACCGTTCATCATTCTTATCGGGATACAACAGCTTAACAGCTCAAAAGCCGACAAAATGGCAGCACCTGATTCTATGTGAATCAAAGCAACACATGCTTTGATAAATTTGGATAGTGCAATAATAGACGGAGATGAACCCATCAATCATACCAACAAAGATGACAAAATGAATGTTATAATAGGGTGCATTCGAACGTAAAGAAGTATTCAGTAGGACACCTAACCATTCTGATTAAAAAACCTGGTTATCAATATTGATATGTTTCTAATATACCACATAATTCTGATAGTCTTTGTATTCTAATTACACTATTTGTAACGACCGAACTTCCAGTATTAGGTTTGAATGCAGGACTGACGAACCAAAATTTATTCAAATAGGCCAGACTACGTTCCTCTGTATAGCGTACGATGAGTTTTTGAGATACTCGTATCAAATTATATCAAAACACAGACTCTGTGCTCAATTTAAACGGTTCTAATTTAGGAGCTAGAAAAAATCATATCAAAAATACAAAATAATTCAAACGGTTCAGCCTGTGCTATACAGACAAAGGTTTCTCTAACGCAAAGTAGCGCGCTAAACAATAAAAGAAACAGTTAATAACAAAGGATTTGATACCTGAGAATCAATAAAAATATTCCCAACAGGGTGGGATCAAATATCTATCTGCAGGAATTCCAGCGACCCTTCCAAGCAGACAATCAAAAGATTAACGGTCATAATAATAATAATAATAATAATATATTTCTGCATGAGCAGGTACACGCCATTTTTACAGGCATGATCTACAAATTATAACATTAGTTGGAGCATAGCATGCTTCCTAACTTATTAAGTTTATAGTTGTTATAAAGTAGTCTCGTAGAGCGCTTGTTATAAACCATGGCCTTGAGTTGACGCTTACGTCAAGTTTGTTCCAGACGTCAGAAGTTTCATAGCTGTGCCCTCGGAGCAAGATTCTGAAGAAAATAAAAAAGAGAAACAGCAGAGCAACAAGGCACTTGGATATGGACTCCAAACGTTGCTTAACATTACGTAGAACAGACAAAGGTATAATAAATTAGATTAAATTCATATTATCTCTTGTTAGAGTGAAATAAAGTCAGAGGCTCCATTCAAGAGAATGTAGTAATAAAGAACAATGAATTGTGATGTTTAACAAGTTGGATTAAGCTCATATGAAGGAAGGGAAGTTAAGGTTGGTACAGGGAAAGTTGTTTATTAGAAGGGAGTGTGCATATAAAGGGTGAAGTGTTGAAAATATTAATAACTATATCTTTTGTTGTCTGATTTTTTCTTTCTTTTTTTTTCATCCGATGCCAGCCACACAATCCATGTGTAAAAGTCCGAGTTAGCATGTTATAGGTTGTCTTAGTAGAATAGCTACTCCAGTATAAAATTGGAAACATGAGTCTGAGTGGTGAGCGTAGGAAGATAATTTATATCACAGATTGATTGACTTATGCTCAATCATAGAGAGCCTGATACATACAAAATGTTCTGCCCCACAAACACGGGTGGATTGAAGTCATCGCCCTCATCATCAATGCTTGCTGGTCAGTAACTCCACCCTCCCTCCTTTTGTGATGTTAGGCTCATTTAAGCTTATTCTTGGATATATATCATACCTCACACAATCCTCTGTTTCACAATCTGTTGGAAAACACTATTTCTATAAGTACCATTTTACAAGCTTATCAGGCAGTTACAAATTATGAACTGTGGGTAAGGCATCGATGCAGTGCTTTAATTGACTATAGTATAAAGTATAGTTTGCCTATTAAAGTATAAGCATTAAGAGGGGTGTAATGTAGGATAGAAGTTTAATAAAGCGGGCGGAAAAGTATATGGGTTGTAGATAAGGTAACGAGTGGAGAAATAATATTAATTGCAAGTCAACATGGTGTGCAGTAGAGTAAGAAGCAAATAAGCAATAAACAAGGATAGAATCACACTAACTTGGTGCTGATGTTCTTTTGTGTTGTCCTAACCAGTTGATGGGTAACAGGCTTCAAAGATGCAGTTCGATCGGTATTAGGCAGTCGATTGCGCGGTTCTCTTGACTTTTTAGGGTGCTAGTGTGTCTCTTAGCGACCGAGTTTAGTTGGACAGTATCAGCAGGTCCAGTGAGTTACCTGTCTACTTTAAGTGAAGAAATAGAGTGGGAAAAGTAACTAAAACAACTGCAAAGTAGGAAAAATAAGGCAATCTGAACTTGGAGTCCATTTTGGTTTAGACATGTAGAGAGCCTATGATATCTGAGTGGGGCGCAGATCTGTTCGTATGTGTTAGATCAGTGCAAATGAGGGCTTGATCAAGCAGCCTTACAAATGTATGTAATTCATCTGCCATGCGTATTTCGGAGGGGAGACTGTTCCAAATTATTGCATACTTGATGAGGAAGAAGTTTTCCCGAGTTTTTGATCTGTATTTCTCAACTTTGACCGTAGATTCTTTGTTTCGAAGTACATATTCATGTGAATTTCGGGCAAGAACTATATTACATGTTGAGTAAGTAAGGTTTTTGAGTAGTTTGAAGTATAGAATCAAATTAGACCTAAGCCTTCTCTTCCAAAGGGGTGCTATTCTTAGGATTTGGCATCGGGAACTGTAGTCAACGACTGATTCAGTCTTAAGTATTTTGCGGGTGAAGTCTCGTTGTATTCCTTCCACCTTTAGTATATCAGATAGGCGTAGGTTGGAAAAGAAGAACGAGCAGTATTCAGCGATAGGTCTTACACAAACTTTATAAAGAAGGATTTTGGATTCATTTTTATAGAAATTATGGAGAATGAAGCCAAGCAATTTCCTCATTTTAGATACTTTGGCTGAGATGTGTTCAGAGAAATTAAGACGTTGTGAGTAGTGTACCCCTAAGTCAGTTACTGATGCCAGTCTGGACAGTGCGTTGCTGTTAATTGTTAGTTTTATTTTGAGAGACGTGTCTCCTATACATAACCAGCCGCACTTCTCTGTGTTGAGCTCTAACCTCCAGCGTTTGCACCAGTCATCTACTATGTTGAGTTCATGTTGGATTGTTTGAATAGTACTACGTACATCCCAAGTGTCGGTTTTATAGATGACTTTTAAGTCATCGGCATAGAGGTAGGTCTTACCTGTGCTAAAGCATTTGCATATACTGTTGATGTATATTATAAAGAGCAATGGACCCAAGACACTACCCTGCACAACACCACTGGATATTGGTCGAGGTGTAGATGTTGTAGAGTCAATCTTGGTTATTTGGTATCTGTTCGTAAGAAAAGATTTGATCCATTGCAAAAGGGGATTTATAATTCCAACTGACTTAAGTCTGTTGATTAGAAGATTATGAGGTACTTTATCGAAAGCTTTCTTAATATCGAAATATAGTATAACCACCAGTTTCTTTTGATCACGTATGCGAGTAACCTCGTTAAAGAAGTCTATCAGACATGTACTGCACGACCTTGTTCTAATGAAGCCGTGTTGTGACGGGTCTATTAGATTTTCCTTAAGTAGGTGATCAGATAGTTGATTTTTTATCACTTTTTCCATTATGCGTGATATAACTGGAGTGATATTTATAGGTCTGTAGTTTTCGACCAGGTTTCTCGGTCCGGATTTGTGTTTTGGAAGAACATACGTTACCTTCCAGGTTTCCGGATATGTACCTGTCTCTACGGATAATGTGTATATTTTGAGTAATAGCGTCTGTATGTCCAAACCTGACATTTTATAAAGGATTGAGGGGATGCCATCGGCACCAGAACTCACATTTGGCTTAAGGGTTTTAATGGCGGTATGAATACTCCCTATGTCGAAGTTTATGGTACTAAGATAATTTTTGCAGGTGCACTTTGTGTCGATATCTGTGACATGAGATGTATTCCCATTGTGGGAAAACCATTCACTTAATAGTTCACATATGATGGTTTGGTCATTATGCGTCACTCCATCGTGCAGTAGGGAGTGAATGTTATTATCTTCGTTCTTTCTTATGCGTTTTGCGAGGAGACGGCATAAGGCATGGGTTTTAGATGCAGCAGTGAGCGCAGTATGTTCCTCTGCCTGTTTATGCTTGTCGTGTTGACTTTGTACTCCGTCGAGTACAGAATATATCTGGTGCAGGGCACTGAAGTCTTTTGATATATAGTACGTCCTTTTCAGTTTACGCAGTTTAGACCTAGTCTTTTGGTTTATGTAGGGAGTAGTTGTCTTAAAAGCAATTTTAAAGGGTATAGTAGTGTCTAGTGCAGATCTGATGGTGGTATTGAATATTTCTAATGTTTCTAAGAGGTTATCACTGGTAAAGAAACTGCTCCAGTCAGAGTGCTTTATTAGAAATTGAAAGTTTTCCCAGTCAGCGTTTGCATAGTCTCTATATTGGAAACGTGTATTTATTGTCTTTAGTTTGTTGCACATGGCAAGAATCGGAAGGGTGCAGAGGACTATTTTATGATCGCTGTTGTGAAACTTTTCGCCAACCACTATTGATGTTGGTGTGACATTATGACAGAATATCAAGTCAAGAATGTTGTGATTTCGTGTAGGAAGGTGTACATGTTGTTGCCAACCGTGTATGTCTAAGGACCTAAGTATGCCTTCAAAGCACAATGGGCCAGAGTGTGTCGTCCAGTTAATGGTGGGTAGGTTGAAATCACCACAAACAATTTTGTAAGTGAAGTCAAGCGAGGCAGCCTGAGCAAATGACTCACTTATAATTGTGTCAGTTGAGCTAGGTGTGTTAGGAGCTCGATATATGCATCCGATTAGTATTTTGCATTCATGAGTGTGCACAGTGAGCCATATCGAATCAGGAAGTTTGCTGAGGATGTTGTCGCTATAGGTTTCCGCTTTCAGATTTTTAGATACATAAACAAGACAACCACCACCCTTCTTGTTGACTCGATCACAGCGGAAGAGCTCATAGGTGTCTATTTTTAGACATGTGTCTGTGATATCGGAGGACAGCCAACTTTCCGTTATCAAAACAAGTGAGGGGTTGTTTAAAAGTAGTAGGGTGCGTAGATGTGTCATCTTACTTTGTATAGATCGAGCGTTGATTAACATAAGTGTCAGGTACGGTGAGTGTTTGTCTAGTAGAATTGTATGTTGCAAACCCAGTGGATCGTCTGTTTCGCCATCTGCTAAAGAAGGATTGGGAGTGTGGACTCCATATTGATGCGCATTTAGTTTATTACCAATAGGGTTAATGCGAGAGAGGTAGTTGGAAGTTAGTTTGGTGAAAGGAGTATGTTTAAGATTGAAAGGTAGAGTTGGATGGTTAGGTAGTGTGTTCGGGGAGTGATCAGGAGGTACAGTCGAGGAGCTTTTAAGACTAGAGACAGCTGTCGACGTTGAGAAAGGTGTGCCACTCCCCATAGGGTCGGAGTGTATAGATGGTCTCAGACTAATGGGATTATCGCCCTCAACATTTGGAGACCCAAAAGCAGCACTGTTGAGGGGGAGAGAGATAAAAAAGGATGAGATGGTGTATTTGTCGAATTATTGGAGATTAAGGAGTTGTATGGGGTGGCTTGATTTAGATAGTATCTAGAGTCAGTAGGTGGGTTCCCAAGTAGGCCAACGTTATGGCTTCCTTGTGTGTGGTGGGCAATTCTAGTCCTATTATGGGTAGTTTGGGAGGTAGTACGTTTCTGGTAAGGGTAGAAGGATTGCCTGACTCTGTTACCAGGAGAGGTGTTTCTGTTGTGTGTAGTTGTGTGCTGGTTCATGGAGCTTGTTAGGTCCACACTATATGACTTACGAGTATCACATGTAGGTGTGGTTCTTATCGAGTGTCGTTTCACGTTAGGACAAGTAGGTACTGCCAGTTCACTATGTTTGTTGTAGGGCATTCTACTGTTATGAAAAGTTGCATGTTTTGGGTTAGGGGTGCTGTAGTACTGGTGGGTTTTTACAGGGAGTTTAGCATTATTTCGTACAGCAGTGTCTGAGCATCTGTAGCTGTTGGCGCACTTCCTGGGAGGATTATTTTTAGGCTTCTTATCGAGGCAATACTGTGGCACTATTGAGGCATAAGTGGGTTGGCATTTTGGGGTAGTTGGGTGTTTGGGCTGAGGATGAGTGGTCGCAGCTGCTTTATGTGCTGTCTTGTTCCTAGGACTAATAGTAGGATACGACGTGCCTCCGTTTTTGGGAGGGGTAGTGTATAGTTTTTTAGGATTTATGCAGTGGCAAGCGCTGTAGCTGCCACGGCTACGTAGTCTGGGTTGATTAGTTTGTGTTCCATCGAAGATTCGACGCTGGATAGCAGTCCTATCATGGATGATTCTAATCTTTTTAAATGTTGGAATACGCCTAAGTAATGACTGACTATTGAGGAGATGATTAGCTTCAGTGGTACTACCAAACTGAAATAGAATGGGACAGGAGACTTTAGTGTGTTTTTTACGTAATCTTCTTGTTACACACCAAGATTGTGACAATCCACATTCTTGTAGTAGAGTATTTCTAACAATCTTTACGTTCGCACTATCAGGTATATTATACACAATAACATTTTGCATACACTGAAGTCTTTTTAACACTTCAGATGATATATGGTTAATTACTTTTTCGGCGTTTTTTATAACTTCGAGATCAGGATTTTCTGGAATATTGACTAAATATTTGTACGGTAATAAATCTTTGATAGTTTGGGTGAAGCTGAGTTCTGTTTGGCTGCTATTAGTGATGAGATTATTGGAATGTGTATCAAAGTTTTTAAGGCCGATATGGTTACACACAGACCTGTTGCAGGTGCCTACCGGATGGTCGCCTTGTGCATAGTTATTTGGGGGATGGAGTACATATCTGGGTGAGTAGTCAAGATCTACATCATCGGGCTGGCTATTGTAGGGAGGCTTACATGTACTCCGTGGACCGCTACTCAGGATGGCCGATTGTAAAATATTTGATTGTTTGGGGTCAGCCGAACTGTTCAAATACTGCTCACAACATGTGATGCTGTTGTTTGGACTGGCAGATGGTGTCGACTCTAACGGCATATGACTGCTCTTATTTATATCTACAAGCGATACATAAGGTAGTGAAATGTCGTGCCCAAGTAAACGGTTCCCGTTTATTGTTGCTGAGGGAAGATCAGAGTAGGATGCAGACTGATCAGTGTGTTTATAAGTTTTCACATTATTCGCTTTAGTGACTGATTTAGATTTTTTGCAAGCGCTATAGGCTTCAGGAGAGATTATATGTTTTTTAGATGGCCGGGACATTATTGTAAGTAATGTGAGTATGAAGTTTAATTAAGTGAATAGCGACAGTTATAACTTCACTTGATACACGTGTAAAGTTTAATGGTAGGATCAGATCCAGTATTAGTTAAGATCAAATATATTACCGTTAATTGGTGATAATGGAGAGCGTGAGAACTAGCAAAATTAATGTATGACGTTGACAGAACCCTATCGGTGACGAGTTATCTATCGCTAATAAATGTTAAATTAAAGGGAAAAACTAATAAGAGAATAAAATAATACCACGTGAAAAAAAGTTACAACCTTCGAAAGACGCGCCGTGACCTTGAGCTTATTCAAACATGACCTTACTGTCAGTAGTTCGGCAACATGCAATAGAAAATTTGGTAACAAAAGATAAGTCTTTAATCAAAATTACATAATAAAAGCTCAGACGAAGAAGACTGAAGAACAAAAGCTGTGGTGAAACGAGATCTGAAGAAAGGTTATAATACACGACAGAGATAAAAAACAAATAAATGACAGTACTGTCCAACGAAAAACCTGCGAAGGGATTTTCATCGTTCCCTTTCCGTCACACCATCCAAATTCTGTATGAGACGGTTTTTAGATCCAAATTTAGGTTTGGACTGAAGAATAGCTGTCTAGGTGGGTTAGATGCGCGCTCTTACCCGGTTGAAACCAAAACAAAATGATCGGGTAAAGTGACGGTTCTAAACAAATATGATCACCCAGCTATTCAACCAATAATTGTTCAATTAGTCAAATCAATCACAACAAATAAATGTTATTCTATCTTGTCTGGATAGACCACGCACAGATTCGTTCAAAAGATAATATTTGGTTGCTTTATAAAACAGAGGTGTTTCTGATTCTGAAAGAGTACTTTAATTCACAATCAAAAATGCACAATTACAGTCCATACAATCAACACAATCAAAAGGAGGAACAAACTAATATAGCTGCCGCCAAGACTAAGTATCGAGTAAAAGAACATAAATGCAGCTCATGAAGAAATATTGAAACTTAGTGAAGGTATAAGAAAAATAAAAACTGTAATAAGATACAAATATTACCAACACAAATGGAATCAAAAACACTAGCCGAATGTACAAATAAAGCAATCAATAGGAACAAACTGGACGTGTATACATGGAGGGATTTTCAAACAAAGACACTCAAAATGTATCTTAAAAAGGTTGATGAAATAATGGCAAATAGAGGAGTGAATAACAGCACAAAATAAGTCAGTCCAGTCGCAAAGTAATCAGAGATGCTGTAGAATCTAATTTGTTTTCATATAAATTTTTTAAACATATTCATAACTGTCAAACACAAATTCTTTTCATGGATATGCCTAAATTGAGTAAATCGTGTCGTTCACATAACTATATGTATGAATAACTGTAGCTAGTACAAGACAGAGAACAATAGGAAAAACATTAAACTGTAATGTGAAATATTCAGTTAGTACCATCATTCCCTACTTAAAAACGAATTCAATGAGAATAGTGTCATTTATCCGGTATAAACATCAATTAAACAACGTGGGGAGCAGGTGATGTGTCGAACTTATTTGCGCATATAAGCTTTCACCATTTGGTACAGGAAATAGGAAATATAATGAGGCAAACAATTAATGCACTTGTAGTACAATTAAATGTTTCATGTTATAGATTCCAATTTGCTGTAATAATATCAGAACGTTCCATATTATTCGTGCTGCAAATCAGGGGTGCAAACAACCTTGTATACAGCTTTTGACGCAACCATTCTAAAATATTTTTTATGGAAAACTGCGTGACCAACTTTGCGTCCGCCTGATTGTGAATATAAAGACCCGGTGTTGGCTGTGTCAATCTTGGCGTCCAATTTCCTAATCAGAATGGTCAAGTTTTTTCCTAAACGGTACTACACAATGGGTAAAACCTGCTCTTAACACTGATTTTTTGCATCTTTACTGGCATGACTGATGGGTGAATCGAACCAGATGACACTATTTATGGTCCCTCTCTCCTTGTTTCGAAAGGTGCTATCATGTTTCTGAAGCCATGAGATCTTCGCCCGATAAGAGCACTTAGTGATTTACCAAAAGCATCATTGAAACTCCATGCGTGAGAGAGGCATTTCGTTAGTCGTGGCCAGAATACAAGATCAGCTTTATTAAAGTTAGTTCGTTTTATTTTAATTGCGTTCTCCTGCCGCGTAGCGCCTCCTGCTTGCTGGTATTTTAATAATCTACTTGCTTTAACACAATAATAAGCGAATTCATACGGCTTTTTGTTTCTGCCCTGACTGTTAAAATGGCTAGTGCTGTGTAAGTTCAGAAGAATCTCGAATTTTAACGTGAAGTTTAACCACTCTCACATACTAAGACCATCCAACATCCTAAAAGAGATCTTATTGGGTTAAAATAGTATTTCTGGCAACTATTATTATGGCAAGGTATATCTTTTTGCCGTGGTATTGATAGATACAGTCAACAAATTACAGGCATCAGATTAAGACAGTCGTAGTGTTTATATGAACTAATGATTCATTTGTACTTGGTGTGACCGATTTTGGATTCCAAATATAATACATTTGTTCGTGTTCACTTCGTTCTATTTGGTGCAAATTGCGTTATTTCAGAGATTCCTTGTTAATACAATAATTCAAATACTTCTAGTCGTCACACTGGAGTCGTGATGAGGCCTGTGGTGGAACAGTTGAATATAAATTTAAATCTCGCTGCATTTGATGATTATATGAAAAGTTTCAACATCTGGTCTGTGGCTAGAAAGATGGTGAGGGTAATAATATTGTGGCTCGTTTCCTTAAATTCATCGGAAAACAAGCCTGAAGCTTTTTAATAATGTTGGCATTTCCAGATAAGCGTATTTCACTTCTTTGTGCAACCATTACGGAACCACTACTAGACCATGTAAAGTGTACAAATTTAGAATTCTTAAACAGGAATATTTTAATCTTTCAATGAACTCCCGTTCACCAATGAAGCACTTTATTATGGACCGCCTAATTTCTAGACTGAACAAGAATATAACGAGCCCGACTATTACTAATATGAATACAACTAAACTACAGGACATATGGTTTGCCGTTTCCTATTATTGATTGTCCATTATTCAAGGTCTAATGCTCCTAACCCTCACTTTCAGTTTCCAAATCCCTCTACTGGTTAAATATACATTTTTCATCCTAAGTGTCATGTCTTTTTCTCTAGTGCAAGTAGACAGATAACTCAGTAATCTTGTGGATGCTAATCTGCTAAGGCCGATCATACGAAGCCTAAAATTGATCATACAGTCTTGTGAGTTGTTCATTGCTTTATTTTTCTTACCTTGAAAATTTTACAATTTTAAACTCTTTCATATCCTTTGATTCGCCATTGGCCTTTACTATCTTTAAACCACACATAATCCAACCTGTTTTTTAATTTTTACCATTAGTTATTTTCATAGCAGTGTGATATGCTAAATTGACATCTAACCCATAATACAAACGCCTTAACTATCTGATTTGCTTGTAACATGGAACTAGTAGAGACAGTGTATTCCCCGTCCTGCACCATCCTTAAAATCTCAAATATTACAAAGGGATATAAGATTGCGATTTCTAGAAGCCCTCAACTGCACATGAATCTATTATCGACCGTCAGTTGCACGTCGCAACGCAACTCTCGTGAAGCGCGCTAGCTGTGATACTGACTAAAACCATTCTACATTCATATCTTATAAATTATAGACCCCGCTGAGTAATTTACTAGAGTTGGAATTTGTATCATTTGTAACAATTTGATGTTGCCTGTAAACTGGCATGCCTCATGTAAGAAATTGTTATTTGAGAATAAATTATTATTATATGTCAAAACAACATAGTTTAAATATTCACTCACTTCTTTATCTTGTGTGTGCGTTATATTTCTAACTATCTTATATTGAATGTTGGGGTTTTGTTTGTTTGAACAAGGAATCCCACGCTCCACTGTGACTGGGCGAAGACCAAAATATAGACCTATTCCCTATTAGTCTGGTTTCTTCCATTAATAATACGAGGGTTACCAATAGGCACAAAACTGGTGAGCCCTGTGAAACACAAATTTGATTTCATTTTTGATTATTAAACTTATTTTTTTCGTTTTACTTACTCGTAAAAGTAGACCTGATTACCTGTAGACTAAGTTTGGTATATATATCTTTACATAGTCTCTTTATTATCTTAAGGTATCCGTGCCGTAGTAACCATTTTTCGTGTCAGGTTTATTACTATATTGTTCATTTACCTAATGTCAGACTCAATACAAACACAAAATCTGGAGGATTTGTCAACAGTGGAGATAGACACTGTTATGACTACGAAATCTCGACTTCCAGAATTTGATCTTGGTGATCCTGAGTTGTGGTTTGCTCAAATAGAGCACCATTTCACGAGACACAATATCAAATCTGAAGGACTTCGCTATATAGACTTGTGTTCTATCCTTTGTCCTTCGGTCGCCAAAGAAGTATGTGACTTGATTTTAAGCCCACCATCACCACAACCATACACCATAATAAAACGAGAAATCATGAACCGTTTATCATTATCAGACAGTCAAAGAATCCAAAGGCTTTTCCAAGGAGAAGCATTAGGTGATAGGTCGCCGTCACAGTTTTTACGTCACCTCCAAGTCTTAGTGGGTGATAACACAGTGGGGGAAGCAGTCCTAAAGCGAAGATGGATACAAGCTCTCCCATGTTACGTCCAACACTGTTTGGATGCACAAGATCCTGTAACCTCCTTATCTCATTTAGCGCGTATAGCCGATAGGATAATGGAAAGGGGTCCTCCAACTGGATCACACACGATAAATCACACAAAAAGAAGAACCAGCAAAAGACCCAGTCATAGAAGGACTTCATGGTAGATACTGGCGCTGCTCTTAGTACAATCCCTCAAAATAAAACTGGGCTGGGGCGAAAAACATTCCCAGTTACACTTCAAGCTGCCAATAAAACTAAAATTGCGAAGTTTTGTCAGAAAACTTTAACACTAGATTTGGGGCTCATGAGGCAATTCCTTGGGTTTTCAGTTTATCCGATTTAGATCTGGCAATACTGAGGATGGACTTTCTAGAGAGATACGAGTTTCTCGCTGACACCACGAAACGACGCCCAACACTGAATGAAACTTCGAATTCCACAAAAGGCAAAGAAAGTCACATCACATCCCTTAACTTGATTCAAACTACTCCAGTAACAACAGCGAAATTCCAAGATATACTGGCGGAATTTCCTAACTTAACTAGACCAAACTCACAGCCTTCCAAAGACAAACTAAAAGTCAGT